CGCAACCAAGGTACATGCCCTTGACCGGAATCGAACCTGGGACCCTTCAGTCCACAGGCCGACGCTCTATCCACTGAGCCAAACCGGTTTCGGCACCTTCTTTTTAAAATTAAGTGTTCATCAGCAGTGTAATTGAAGCCTTTCCTGTTTGGCTTATAAATGAAAGTGCTCCATTATATGCATTTAACTAGGGTTTCTTTCAGATCAGAATCTCTTTTGTGAAATACATTGGCAATCACGCAACCTCTACTGATTTGTATCTACTCAGCTGAATACAAGTTGTATTTTTCTTACCTGATAATAAATACCTTGAGAGCTGGAAACACTAGCTTTTCATCCCTCTGTCCATCCATCCATTTGTTCATCTATCTATTTATTGAACATTTGAGCATCTATGTGTCAAGCACTGTGATGAACTTCAGGATGAACATGATATAGTCTTTTCCCTCAAAGATCTTGTGGTCAGTTAGGGCAGAGGTTCCCAGCTGTGGCTGCATATAAGAATCACCTGGTTGCTGGCTCCACTTTCAGGAAGTCTGTTCTCATTGTACTAGATTGTAGCCTGGGTCTATGTATATATTTTAGAGCTTTCAAGGTGATTCCATAGGGCAAACAGTTTGAGAACCTTGAGTTAGGCAGATAGACTTACATTGTGTTAAGTTCTATAATAAGAAAAAACAACAACAACAACAGAATTTTCTTGGCACACAGAAGAGAAAAACAGTCATATACTTTCCCCCCCTATTATTCCTCATAACATATATCACTGGGCACTGAGTCTTGAACATGCTAGATTAAATATTTCTTGAATGAATTGACTTATTATTTTTAGGCTCAATCACCTAGTTCAACATCATGGGTGATATTCTGTGTCATAATTAAATTGGAGCAATTCTTTCATTTATTAATTGAATTTCTTTCCCAAATTAAAAAGGGGTTGGGGTCTTTTTTTGAGACATAATGAATTTAGTTGTTTCTATATTTAGCTTTATACATTTTGGATTCTTGATTTTATTTGATGAAATCTAATTCATCTTTTTATGGGCAAAATCCCATTTTGACTTTGAAAACCTAATTTCTTTTTCTTATCAGCTTCTCCTAGTTAGTCAGGTAGTTTTATAAATTAACTAGAGGAGACCCAATGCACGAAATTCATGCACAGGAGCTGAGGGGTGTCCACCTGCCAGCTTAGGCCTGCTCCCCACGGGGATTGGGCCTAAGCTGGCAGTTGGACATCCCTTTTGCAGTCCAGGACCCCTTGCTCCTTACCGCCTGCTTGCTTGCTGCTCCTTAGCACTGTTGCAGAGGTTGGAGAGGTTCCCACCACCGCCACTGTGCTTGCCAGCCATGAGCCCAGCTTCTGACTGAGTGACACTCCCTCTGTGGGAGTGCACTGACCACCAAGGGGCAGCTCCGGCATTGAGCATCTGCTCCCTGGTGGTCAGTGCGCATCATAGCAACCGGTCGTTCTGCCATTCAGTCGATTTACACATTAACCTTTTATTATATAGGATTATGACACACATAAATTACCTACTTTAACATACTTCATAGGCTTTAAATTATAATTGCAACTCCCATAGAGTAGATATGAAACTGTCACACAATAAACTCCTGACCTAGGAAGAACATTTGAAAGGGTCATTTATTATGTTATTGTGTTTCTCCTCAATGAGGAATCCACTTCTATTCAGACACCCAATCTGGAAATTTCTTTTCTTACTCAAGTTAAAATGAGATACAGTTCTCCTGTCCTGACAGTAAGCATGAGTTAGAGAGCACACACACAGGGGCAGACTGCTGAGTGCACAGATCAGAGTCCAGCTCCAGTTAGTTTTGGGGGAACCAGTAATTAGTGACACACTTTGTGGTGTATTGAAGATAGCCAACCTGATCAGAAATACTAGTGATCAAAAATAGTTCTTACCATGAACTTTTCACAGTTTCAGAACAAATGTAAAAATCTGCGAGTAAGATGTTGACATGGGAAAATGGCATCTCGACACTGTGTTTTCTTGACTCCATTGTAACTTGGCGTGTCCATGTGATTCATTTCTGTTGAAGAGGATGTGAATAGAAGATATGAATATAACTTCCAGCTTCTGTTCTGAAAAAGAATGGGATGGGGGTTCCCTCCTCTTCCCTAAGTCTTTCTTCCCACTGGCTGATTGTAGAGGTGATGGTGAGCTAGCTTGGACCATGTGGATGAAGACAAAGATAAAAGAAACCAGAGACCTTGATGATTCTACATAGCAGAAGTAACATACCTGTTCAGAATTTTATGTGAGAGAGGAATAAACTATCAAATTTAAGCCACTGCTACTTTGTGTCTCTGTCATATAAAGCCTGTACCATATACCACCACCACTCCCCCCGCCCCCAACTTCTTGGTCAACCATATTGAATTAAATTCAGTTCCTTGAACTTGCAATGTGTTTTTTAAATGTCTTCTTACCTTTACCCATGCTGTTCCCTGTACCTGACCTGCATTTTCAAATACATTTTCTCCATCAGCCAGGTAAACTTTTACTCATTTTCAAGATTCTGGGAAGTCTTTGATATTTCCATGTTGAGGTGGTAGTCCTTTTATGATTGCCCTTGATAGACTCTGTACATAATGACAATAATGACAATATACACACTTTATTGAGTATCTACTATGTGCCATATACTCTAAATTTGCTTTACAGAAAAAAGCTCATGTATTCTTACAACAGTTTTATGGGTTATATGTATCCAATTCATTTTTTAAAAAATCCACGCTTGGAGAAAGAGGCTAAGTGGTTTGCCCCAGTTCATAATGTTAAATAGTAGAGCTGGAATTCAAAGGCAGATTAACCTGGTTTCAATTCCATGTTCTATCATCTCTGCCTTCATTTCAGCCCTTCTTGTCTGGCATCACATTTCTTTGTTTACAGGTACATCTTGTTCAGTTATACTCTACCTTCCCCACATTGAGCTCATTGTGGGAGCTCAATAAGTACAAGTTAAATAACTGGGCTCCATTTTCCTCACCAATTGCCTTCCAAAGTTATGGTATAAGCTCCAGGAATAGTACCATACCTTAAATGCAAGGCCAAGAGCAATCACTGTTTCATGATCTGATTTCTCTCTGGATTATGCAACCATAATTGATCTGACGCTTCATATCCTAGGCTAGCTTTGATCACTGCTAGACAGTGCCTGAGTCTGCTAGGGCATCCATAATTAAATATCACAGACTGGATGGCTTCCACAACAGAAATAAATTTATTTTTCATAGATGTGGAGGCTACAAGTCCAAGATCAAGGTGCTGTAGGGTTGGTTTCTGGTAAGAGCGCTCTTTCTGGCTTATAGACAGCTGAATTTTTGTATCTTCATCTGACATTTTCTCTGCATCCCTGGTTGTCTCTCTCTCTTTTCTTATAGGAACATCAGTCCTATCAGCTTAGGGCATACCACCCCTCTCCCCCAGATCTCATTGTTGAAATAAATTTCTAGGCCCAAGATGGAATCACTTCTGCCCAGAGAACCAAGTCAGTGCACTAAAGCTTAGATAACTTTCATGTCCCAGTAAACATTTCGCTTGACCAGAAACATTGTATATTCAGTTAACCAATTCCTAATGCCAAGCCAACTCTGGGCTCTATACTTACTTCCTTGTTCCTTATTCATTTTCTGTTTTTCTTTTTCTTGTTCCTTATTTTTTATCCTATAAAAACTTCCTATCTTCCACCCCATTTTGCAGCTCTCTGAATCCTAGGGTATGGAGACTGCCTGCTTTATGAGGTGTTAAGTAAAATTTGTATTACCCAAATTGTCCTTTTTAGTCATTTTTAGCTCTATGCACACACCAAAAAGTTTTCCTCTCCAATATGTTCTATGTAAACTGCTGAGGATGTAAAGTTTGCTAACTCAGCCTGCCTGATCCTCAGTTTCCTAATCTTTAAATTGGATATAATGATAACAGTCCCACCTATCTCACAAGTGGCTTTCTTTTCTTTTACTTTTTTTGGTATTAAATGCAGCAATATTCAGAAAGTACTCTACTAACTGAAGGTGCTATGTCTAAAACATTCTTTCCCCTCTGTCTGGTAGATGTTGACTCATTTTTTAAGACTCACCTCAACTACTATGAGGCAATTATTTTTGCTTATAATTGTTGACTGGCAGATGGGTGAAGTTTTTGCACTTCCAGGGTTCAGGTCTAATACAGGGGGATTTGAGAAGAGCTTAGCTGCTTTGCTGAGGTTTGTAAGTAACCAGCACTTGCTTTTTTGACTTTGGAACTACACCATGTCCAGACATGAGCTGACTTCTTGTTCCTTCCTTCTTATCACATTTCTCATCAGTGTCTTATGCAAAAAGTTTAAGATTTGAAGTCAGGACGATCAGGGTTTAAATATTGATTCTTCAACTACCTTCTTACTTGACCCTGGGCCAGCTCACTTAACCTCTGTGTGTCTTATACTCCATGAATCTATTCGATACTTCAGCCAGAATTGCTTTCCTGATTGGTTCCTACCTCTGTGTGGGCATAAAGTGCAGAGGCTGTGTTTGCAAAAGAGGAAAGGGAGGTGGTAGAGAGGGAGAGGGACAAGAATTGAGAACTGTGAGGACTAGAAACATTTGTGACTTTCCTGGTGTTGTTATTGTCACATCTGTCCCCCAATTGGGATCTATATTAAAAATCTATGGATCTTTTCTGTTAATGTCTCACTAAGTAAAGTCAGGCTTCTTATTTTTTTCCAAGTGGTGCTCTTTGTGTTTTGAGGCGGTAGATGTCATCGTTTACGTACGAACTTCCTGGAGCTCAGGAGGAAGCAGGGTCACTTCTGGTAAAGGAGGTAGGCAGGCTACCGATGCCCATAAAGCGTGAGCATGGGGGTGTTGGCTATGTGTTGACCTGGCCTGGAGTATAGGAGAGCTTGAACTTTCCGAGAAGGAAAAAGAAATTTTTGGCACTTGGGAATGAACAAAATAATTTAACCATCTCTGATTGGTTTCAGATTTGCAGATCTCTAAGGAATTTGAAAAGAATATTAAGCAATAGAGGAAACTCCACATCCTGGATAAACTACGTGTTTTGAAGCTTGCACAAGTCCTGAATTTGGTCCAGGCTTTTTCAGTCAACACCTATTGTATTTCCCAAAACTGAGATGGCTGAAGAAGAAGAAGAAGAAGAAAAGAAAACACCTTACAAGAAGAAAGAACCAATTTATGAAAGATAGAAAAGGCCTTTATCATAAGACTTTCAGTAAGTGCTGTTTTATTCAAAGATGATCTGAAATGAACAGTAGTGACTTAGAAACTTGATCTTCTTACACCCACCCCACTATTAAGTATAAATTAATTCTTTTTTAAAAAATTATTTGAGAGAGAGAGAGAGAGAGAGAGAGAGACTTGTTGTTCCACTCATTTATGTATCCATTGGTTGCTTCTTGTAAGGGCCCTGACTAGTATCAAACCCACAACCTTGGCGAATCAGGATGATACTCTAACTAACTGAGATATCTGGCCAGTGTTTATAAATTCATTCTTTTATTGGAGTGATATTTTGTTCAATGGACAATGTTTATTCTTATCTATATCCAGTGATACATTTAAAATAGGCAGTGTAGAAGACTTGAGACTCCAGGTAAATGAATTGACTAAGAGCAAAGTATATAGTGATAACTGGGCTACAAATTTTGTATCTGTGAAGGGTGTTTTAGCTCCAGGAGAGAGGAGAATGGAAGAAGGTGATGAGAAATCGGAGGTATTAAGGCAATTATCTCCTAATCCAGACGATATTTTTCCTGGCCTATGGTTTGGCTGATCCTGTCCCTTGAAACACAAGGAATATCTTGCTTCAAAAAGCAAAATCAAGCACAGGTATATCAATCAAAAGGTGACTGCACATTGAATAACTGTACTTTAAATTAAGGATTCATATGGCCTTGGTTTATATTCTTTTAAGCCTCAGTTTCCTTCTCTGTAAAATGAAGACAATAATAATAGCTATGCCTTATTGGGCATGTGCCAGGTGTCTCACATTTATTATTTTTGTTCTTCAAACAACCTTATAAACTAAGAACTGTTTTCTCTGAAGGATGCTTTGCCAAGTGCCCCTCCCAACTTGGCAATTATCCTTCTTTTTTTTTAAAAAAAAATTATTTTAGAGAGAGAGAGAAAGGGAGAGAGAAAGAGAAACATCAATCTGCTGCTCCACCCATCTATGCATTCCTTGGTTGACTCCTATATTCTTGTATGTGCTCTGACCTTGAGTTGAACCTTCAACTTTGGCATTTGGGGACGATACTCCAACCAACTGAGCTATCTGGCTAGGGCAAGAACTATTTTCTATGTAATAGAGGAGGAAATTAGTACAAAATGGTTAAATAATACACCTGAAATCATAATGAGTGAGTGGCTAAGCCAGGCCTTTTAGACTTGACAGCCTTTTCTTGTTCCACTGTATGCCAGGCCTCAGTAACATCACTCTGTCTGCCACACAGTGCTGTCATGAGGACTGAAGAGTAAGCACGCCATTTATAAAGCTGGCACACAGTAGGCATTTTTCAAATGTGAGTTTCCTTGTCCTTTACTTCAAGTGCCCAAACTCTGCCCATATCAAAATTATTTCCTTCTTCAAGAAATGTGTGTGTGTAATAAAATGCACCCATAGGTGCAGTATCACAATAATCAATCATGAAAAAGATGTTCAGCTCTGGATCATTTAATTTTCATTTATTTAAGAGACAATAGGTTTTATTTTTATTATTGTATTTTGGGCATAGATGTGAGAAGAGGTCTAAAATTGGGGGGTTAGGGGACAATATATGCTTAAAATATAAAGTGACACCATGTACACTATATAAGGAGGCAGGCCAGGGGCCTCTTTAGTGGGTTTCAGGATGAGGCAGAAAGTGGCTGATGTGAGGAGTTAAGAATGAAGTGAGTATTTCAGGACAAGAGCTCAACAGGTTGCTGTGAGATAAAAGTTCCATCTTGAGGACTGCAAACTTGTAAGCCAGAATCTTATGGTGCAGCAAGACTTTTAATTTGAAGAAAGGACATACCTTCTAGGGAACTGGTAGTAAGGCCAGATTCCCCAGGGTCAGTGGTGACTTAGGAATCCAATAAGTATGATCTGTATCTAATCTCTAAAGGGCCTTTGACCATATCCATCTAATAGACTAGCTCTGTCAATTTTGAGCTTGTGTGTTGACTGATATTCTCTTTGAAGAGAGTTTTGAACTATAGCTTCAAACTAGGGAAAAAATCAATAGTCAAAGAAAAGCAAGGCAGGTAATGAGTCCTAGTCTTAGGCTGTGGAGTAGATAAATGTGTCACAAGTATTTGCCAGGAACTTACACCATGGAGTGACCTGGAATCTGAATCTTCCTGGAGAAGTTTTCAATAAAGACTTGCTTCTTTCTTTGCTTCCTGCAGGGGAATGCATCTACTCTCATTTTTACCAAATGGAGAAAATAGCGCACTAGCAAAGATAGCCACGGTGACGGCTGAGTTCTGTAAAGTACAAGCTACTGCAATCACCTACCTAGCACATTAACCTGGGACCCAGCTCTGAGCTTGGCCAGTGGTCTGTCCGCCCTACTAATCAAGGAAAGAGCAGATGAGGTTGACAAGTCTCTCTCTTCTTCACATTGCACCACCACTACAAAAACCCAAACAGGAACAAATAAAACACAGCTAACAAAAGCCAAACCCCACACCAGACATTAGTGCTTTACCTCTGTGGGGATGAAAGATTATAGAGGCTGAACTCAGGGCACAGTGAGTGTCTGAATAGCTGCCACTGTGAAGCTGTTGCCATTTTTTAGGCTGGCTCAGACACACTCTTCAATTAAAGAAGGCACTAAATCCAGGGATTCGGTGTTGGGGATATAATTACAGGCCATAATTCCTTTGTGGGCCTTCAACATGCCTGAAGCTAGCAGTGAGTGATGCCGGCCAGGGCTCTGAGCACCCGCCCTTGCATCTGGGCTCACTGTGGCCTCTTGTCTGAGGAACTTTCTCCGAAACAACCTTCCTCACAGCTTTCTCTCAAACTCTACACGTTGTGATCCAGGAAGGGGGCCAGTGCTTGAATATTTCCTTTAAAATTTGTATCTTGATGGTCTGTCTCATAACTCAGTTTTATATCTGATATATTTTTTTTACCTTGGGTCTTTAATAGAGACTTCCAATACATAATATTAATGTGTAGGGTGGGGAGAGAGAGACAGAGAGAGACAGAGAGAGAGGGTGGCAGGGGGAGAAAGAGCTTTGGCGATTATTTTCTTCTTTTTTAAAAAATATATTTTTATTGATTTCAAAGAGAAAGGGAGAGGGAGAAGGATTTACCAGTAGAAACATCAATGCTGAGAGAGAATCATCAGTCGGCTGCCTCCTGCATGCCCCACACTGGGGATCGAGCCCATAACTGGGCACGCGTGCCCTGACTGGGAATTGAACTATTTTCCTATGGTTGACACTCAACCACTGAGCCACACTGCCAGGCTATCATTTTCTTCTTGATGCTTATATGTATTTTCTATAAAACTATATATTACTTGTTTTACACATTAAGATTTTTCAATTGTGGTAAAATACACATGAAACTTACATTATTAACCATTTTTAAACTTTATTTTTACTTGACACTATTACAGATGTCTCC